TAATTAATTAAAGTATAACAAAAGAAGCCAGCTAAGGTGTCTTCATTGCAATGGCCAAAAAGAAAGAAAAATGCTGTCTTCGTTGCATTTCAATTCACTGACTTGAATAGGATCCCTGCTCAAGAATGGAGGTCTATGTGGCCGTAGAATCATGGCTAACTTCAACATCACCAAAAGAAAAATAAATAAATTCTTCTGTCACCAGGCTTAATTTGTTAGAGTAAAAATTTGAAATTAACTTTTAAATGTACTTTAAAGTAAACTAGGATATAGTGGGGTTCGTTTGTGCCCCAATTTTTTTTTTTTTTTTTAAATTATTGTTAGAGTTGTGGTATCAAAGCTGCACAAATAACTGCAAATGAAATGAAGGGAGAGCTGCACCAACAGTGCGGTAGCAGTAAAGTGCAGCAAGTAAGCTGAAAATGTTGATAAAATGAGGTTGAAATAAACATTAAATGAAATGCAAATAAAAGGCCGCAAAGTAACAGCAAAGTACATAACATGGAGCCGCACCTATGGCAGCAAATTTTTTTTTTTTTAACAAATTCTAAGGGGACAAATTCAAAACGTTACTTCAAGGAATGAAAAATGCACTTATATGTGGCATGACATTATTGAATCGAAGGTCCAGGTGCAGTAGTAAATTTTTTATATGTGGCCTAATGTCACTGGTCTGAAAGCTCAAGTGCGGTAGCAAATCTTTTGATGTAATTTTACATTAAATGTTTAATAGATTTCAAAATTTTAAGTAAAAAAATTAGTTAATGTATTAAATGATTTCTGCTATAAATAATGGCAAAAGATAACGAAAAAAATGAGATTTTAGTTTTCATCTCATCAAAAGAGAAAGTCCGAGTGTACCTCCTCCCTCCTTCTACCTCTAAATCCTCTCTCAAACCCCCTTCTTACCTCCGAAATCTTAACAATTATTAAATATATTAATTTTTTTTTAAACATTTTGACATAAAACCCGCTTAGAGAAAGGAGTATGCACCTGTTCAATAGCTAATGTTATTGGATTTCTAGGATTAGCTGCATTAAATAAATTAATATTGATTTATAATTAAAATTAATTTTTAATTAAAGTTATGAAAAAAAAAAGATGCCTGGGCATTAAAATAGTAGGGCATTTAATCATAACCACAAGATAATGAAATATAATATAGATGTCACCTGAATTT